AGGAGAAGGAGAAGGAGAAGGAGAAGGAGAAGGAGAAGGAGAAGGAGAAGGAGAAGGAGAAGGAGAAGGAGAAGGAGAAGGAGAAGGAGAAGAAATAACCCAAAGCCATAGCCTTGATCAACAGGTGCAAAGTAGCTTGGCTGATTCCCAACAGCGGAGCGGAAAAAGCTCCCGGGGGAGGGGCTGGCTCGAAGACCAGGAGAGGGAAATTTCCTTCTAGGGTTGAGAGGTAAGTGGGCCGAGGCTGGGGGAAGCAGGCCGCCCTCCTCCCTCAAAGTTATTCTGCAACAGGAAACCCAAAGGGGCTCACTTGTGGGGACAACCGAGGATGCCTGAGTGAGAGGAAGAGGTCAAACTGAGTTGGGAGTGGTTTGGGAGGGGACAGTTGCTAAAGAAGGAGCCAGGCACACTTGTACTCCCAGCACTCTCGGAAGTTGAGGCAGGAGGGCTGAAGGCTCAAGGCCACCTGAGGATTGGGCAACTTAGTGACTGAGAACCTGCCTCAAAATTTAAAAGATTTTTAAAAGAACTGGGGATGTAGCTTAGTGCAAAGGCCTTGAGTTCAATCCCCAGTACCAAGGAAGGAAGGAAAGGAGAGAAGGAGGAAGGGAGGAGGGAAGGGAGAGGGAGAGAGAGAAAGAGGGATGGGAGGGGAAGAAGAGGAAGAAGGAAGAAAAGTGAGCTTCTAGGGCCCGTCCTGGGGGGAGATGGAGTCTGTGCTTCCTCCCCACGTGGAGCGGGGGCTTGTTTCCCCACGACTGACTCCTGCCTGCACAGCCTGCTCTTGTATTTTGGTGTTTATTTGTTTTTAAAACATAACAGCTGGTGGGCAAAAATGTTCTCCCCGTCAGAGTGAAAGTGCTGTTTGTTCTGGTCTGCTCTCCTGGAGTCCAGGGAGCCCCTGGTGGCAGAGCAGAGGTCCTCCCTAGGGTACCAAGAGCCTGAGCCTCACAAGCCTTGGGTGGGGTGGGGGAGGGTGCAGGGGTGCTTATTTTATAAGTGCTTGCTTGAAAACCCCTAAAACAACGAAAGGGCTGCCTCTCTGCCTCTCTGTCTTGGAGAACTAAAAGATGCATTAGGGGTGGAATGATCTCATTGCAATTCATCACCCTCGCTCTTCGGCTCTTGTGTGCAGAACGTGTTTACATTACCCCAGGCTTCTGATGCCTTAATCTCAGCTGGAAGGTCCTGAGCCGGCATTTAGCCACCCCTGCCCCTGCACACGCTGCTTCTCTGGGGAGGGGACACTGTTAATGACCATTGGCAGAAGGCTTTGAAGTCGAGCCTGCTGAGAAGGACTCCACCATCAAAGCACACAGAGAGACTGGGCCCGCTGTGTCCCCCTGGGCTCAGGAAACACATCAGTCATTTAGCAAGATGTCAGGGCTGGACAGCCTCTAAGGAGTGAGAAGCCAGCCTCTCAGGACAGTGTGGAGGTGACAGCCTCACTGGCAAGGTAGAGGGCCATCGGCCTGATCGAGAGGGGTGAAGCAGAGGCACCACCCGCGTGGACATTCTAGACAGGTTATTTAAAGTCTCTCTGTCTGTCTTTGGGGTCTTCTCACTCCCAGGATGAGGCTGAGGGTGCTTCAAGCCATCTTGAAGATGCCCCAGGCAGCAAGGGTGGGCATTTCCTCCTGGCTTTACATCTCCCCTAGCAGGCACCACCACTCACCTGCTGTCTAGGAGCTTTATCACAGCACAAATGTCACACTGTGACTCCTCCAAGCTTGACCATGAAAATGTGGCAGCAAAGAGTGGTCATCCCAGGGAAGAATCCTCTGCTTAGTGGATGGTTGTGGCATCAAGCAGGTGGGCTGGAAGACTGTCAGTGTCTCATCACCTCTCTGCCTTCCTGCAGAACTGTGCCTTGCTGCTCAAACACGAGGCGCCCACCTCTCCCAAAAGCTTGTCAGAAAGCAAAATTACTTAATGCAGCATCCCAAGGGCCTGCAAGAAAGTTCTCCAACCACCAACACAAAATTTTCAGTGTCTACCGCAATCCCTTGGTGTGTCACTGAAGCCTACCTAATCCCCAATCATTTATTCTCTGCCCCAGTGTTTTCTTTAAGCAAAATGATTCCAATGCCTTACCTTACTTAAACACGTAAGCTAATATGTGCAAAGTTCTTGGTCGAGGGTCTAGTGCATAATTTAAAAAACAATACATGGCAACTGTCAGCTTTTCCTCTTGTTGCCATTTTGAGGCTGACAGGTACCGTTTTTGTTGCTTGCATTGTGAAGTGGGGGAAACTGAGGCACAGAGGAAGAAAAGCCATCTTTCAAAGTCACCCAGACAACATGGTAAAGAACCTATGCTCTTGCTGTGAATATAGAGGGACCTGGAACCAGGCACCCTGAGACTAGGGAGGAAACTCTGTCTGACTCAGACCCCCCAGCGGAAAAATGGTTTCCCAGGCTCCCCCTTTTGGGGGCAGGTGTGAGGGATGTCCTCCTGAACCCAGGGATTTGGGGTAGGGATGGAAGTAGCCCTCTGAAGGAGAATGAAGGCAAGCAGGGAAGTAAGACAGGATCCTCTCCTCCCTTCCGCTTTCTGCCAGCCTCTCCCGAAGTTTTTCCAGCCTGGCATCAGTGAAGGAACAGAGCGTGGAATGTTACACGGAAGCTTTGGGATCTGGTGGAACAGGGCGGGTGCACCAGGAGGAATTTGGAAAGACTTATGTCAGTATTTCATCTGGGCTGGAAAATGTCAGCCCAGCAGAGGCTCCACACAGAAACCCTGTGCTATTCGTGGGCTTGAGGGAGACAGCAGGGGTGGGGGGAGCTCCCAGTGCCCCTTGTGGGGCATCTGTGTACACTGTCTAGCTCCCCACAAGTATGTCCTATATTTAGGTACCCACAGCTGGGACCCAGGTCGTGAGCAGAGTGAGGACTCCCGCTGGGAGAGAATGCATCACTGCGCCTCTAGCTCAGCTCCAGGTGGCAATCTAAGGAACACTCACACCCAGCCCTGTACACAGACCACACGGACCCAGTTCCTAACTGGGGCCCTGCCTATGGAATCTACTCCCTGGACCCAGGGAGGAGGCACCCCAAAGCATTCCAGATCTCTGCACCTCCGTGGAGGGCATTTCCCAGTCTCCCCACAGCTCCTCTCAGTATGAATTGCTTTGGACCTGGATTTTTTTTGTCAATTGCTTGCAGTACAAGCTAATCTGAGCAGACTAACTCCCCCATCTCAACAGGGTCAGTTCTTAAGGGGCACTGCGAACAGGAGTGGATGCTTATTTCAATACTTCCCAGCCTGTCTGCACACTGTCTCCCTCGGAACATAACCTCCTCCAAGATAAGTCCCAGCTGCGCTGCAAGGGTTAGGGACGCTTCCCTCCCTTCACTTCCTCTGTAGCTTAAGGGACACCTCTGGTGAGACAAAGGCAAGCCCCAGCTCTGGGTCTGCACCACTTGACAGTGCCCATCCTCCTCTGTCCCCAGTCCCACCGTGGCTCCTCCAGTCACGCTTTGTGGAGCCACCAAGAGCTGTCTTCCGGGGAGCCAGGAGGCTCCAGCAGCTTCGGGTGGGGACTTCTGAGACCCTGCTGGAGTTTTGACTCAGGCCTTATTTGTTCCCCTTTCCTTGCTGACTCGGTAGACTGGAGACAGGTGGTTGGTTTGTCCAAGGGGACGTCGAGCAAGAACTGGTTTGTTCAGAGAAGGACAACCAGGGCAAGAGGTGTGGAAGTCTCCACACCGAAAGCGGACAGAGCAGGGGACATCTATGACGTGGCACAGGGGCCATCCTCCACCACAGGCACTTCTTTTGAGATTTTTAAAGGAAGAAGTAGACCGCAATCATATTAAATGCAGGAGGCAGGGGAGTAATTTATTTGCCTCATGAGGTCCAGCGCAGCCAAGAGCTTGGAGAGTGCAGCCTGCCTTGGGGTCGAGGCGCCGTGGAGGTCGGAAATGTGTGCCGGCTTCTTAAAGCTCTGCAGCACAGAGCCGCTGTCTCTCGGCCCAGGGTTTCTCGCTTTAATTTCCTGCCACTTTCTCTATCTGCAAAGAGGCAGGAAACTGTCAAGATTTAAACCTTTCATTTCCCACCCCCACAGCCTTCCTTCTCACAGCAATTCAGCAAAGCCTCCCGCTCCAAAAGCAAATCAAGCGCTTACAGAGGCTACTTTTGGTCTTTGGCTGCCCTCTGCTTCCCCCTGCTGCCCACAGACGGAAAAACACCCCAGGCCCGGGAGGGAAGGACACTCAAGGACGTTCGTTCAAAGGACTCAGTACACAGGTGGGGGGGATAAAGTGGCGCTGCTGCAGAAGCAGGTGCGCGCGCGCATATACACACACACACACACACACACACACACACACACACACACACACACACACACACATCTCCGACCCCTAGCAGTGCCTGTCGTAGTGACTCAGATCGTGGGAAACATCTTCCCATGCCTCCCCAAGTCCCACCCTTGCAACAGAAGTCTTTCTAAGCCCCTCGTGTCTCACCCGTATCTGCTCCCTGATCGGGCCTCTCCCGCCCGCCCTCCTGTCCCTACAGAGTTCTCCATCAGCAGCTTCTGCACCGTGGTGGACGTCATGAACTTCTCCAAGCTGCAGGTGCTGCGTCTGGACGGGAACGAGATCCAGCGCAGCGCGATGCCCGTCGATGCCCCCCTCTGCCTGCGCCTCGCCAGCCTCATTGAGATCTGAGCGGCCCTCGCAGTGGGCCCCCGCCGCCCCCTGTGTTTGGCTTGACGGTTCGGTTTGGCTTTTGTTGGAAGGTCTGGGACAACCATGTGGCACAAGCCCATGGGCTCCTCTTTAGTCTCTTCCTATAGGCAGGGTTAGGTGGCATCAGGGGCCCGGCGGGCTTCTGCCCAGGACTCAGGCACATGCTTTCTGTTCCCCAGGGGACATAAGTAGTGGGGGAGGAGTCCTCCCTGGAAGTCCCAACCCCAGAATCTCACTCCTTTAAATTCTCCCTGCTGCTCTGCCATCAGGGAACTTTCAGCATTGCCTGAACAATAGCGCCTAAGCGTCGTTTTCAAGCAGTCTCTGATCCTGTCTGTGCACAGCACTTGGTAGCTTTCTGCATGTGCTGGGCTGGCTGTGCCCCTACTCTGAGCTCCTATTCAGTGCTCCTCAAAATATACCTCTTGCCCAGCCACCTCCTCTTCACCCTGCCCTTCTTCACGGGTACCCCTTCTGTGCCTTCTGCAGTCAGGAGACCCCATCACGAGGGCACCTGCCCAGCCCCCTGTGGAGAGAACCCACACTTTTGTCCGAGGCTAAGAAGACGCTGAGAATCACCACTCCACCCTCCTACCCCTCACCTTTTGAAAGCCACCGGGTTGGAGGTCATGATAGTATTGCTGGCCTGATGTCAAAGAGCCAACCTCAGGCTTAGCTAAACTTTGGCGGCCAGATTTTAGCAGCTGGGCAGCTCTTGAAAGGTGGGTCAGATTCCTAAGGAAGAAAGGCCAGACTTGGTTATCACCAGCGCCCACACTGGCTGCAAGTGCACCTCAAATTGACCAAACTGAAGGGGCAGCCTCAGCAGTTTCTTTCTTGCCTGATCCACTCTGCATCCCCCTAGCTGGGTCTTTATCCTCGGTGGTGGAGGCCTCATGGTTTCCAAAGCCTGAGAAAGCTAGTTTGCCCTCTCTTTTGACCCAAGCAAGAGGTTTTATGTACCCATGGTAGAGACAGATTCCAACCAGCCCGGGACACGGGCCAGGGAAGATGGGGAAGATAGGGCTCATCTGTATTAACGGATTTGTCCCAAGGTGGGGCTCCAGGGTGTCTGCTGGAGGTACTCCATGCAGTCTGAAAAGTGCAGGCCGGGTCTCACCACCCTGCTTTCTTTTCTTTTTTTTTTTTTTTTTTTGGTACCAGAAATCAAATTCACAACCTTGCGCTTGCCAGGCAGGCGCTGTGCCTCTGAGCTAAATCCCCAGCCCCCACCCACCCAGCTTTCATCTCTCTGAACTACACTGCATTTTTTGAAGATGCCTTTGCTTTATAGCTTGACTGGGGAGCAGTTAATTTGCACTTCCATAAGGCAAGGCTGTCTGGCCTAACCTGCCCGCTTCTTTGGGTGCAAAGGGATGAGCCATCAACCTGGGCAGCCAGGGGCAAGGACCAGCTGAGGAGACCGGCCCGCTCCAGTCTGTGCCCAGCCCATTACACAACCGATTCTGTGTCTGCTTGGGAGCAGCTTCCTGAAAAGGGAAGGGGGTCCCTCAAGCTGTGCTTGGCTCCAGACCCTGCAATCCACAAAAGCCAAATCAGCACATTTCAACCAGGGAGATCGGACCGGAGGGGTGAGGCTGCCCCCTGACCCCGCCCCCTGCCCTGGGCTCTGCTGGCAGCATCTGCATGTGGACACCATTGTGCCTCTACACAGGCTCTGTTACGGGAGACGCATGCGTGGCGGCCAACCTGACCAATAAAGTATTGTACACTTGCAGCCGCGGGCGTGGCATCAGTACGGTCGGCCCGCCACACACAGGTGTGCCTAGGGGACCTAGTGAAGTTCCCCAGGCTTTGATCTATCCAGGCTATTTTTACCTATTCTCTTTTTCTTTTTTTCCTTATTCTATCCGAGCAGATGCAGTTTAACAACCCCCCCGCCCCCAAAAAAATCTTGCATAAAATCTCTAGTTAGCAAAGTTTGTGTTCTGGAAATTCTTTAAATCTAATTCCAATCCCACTAGCTATGCATCCCCTTCCATGCCGTTCTCAAGAGATAAGAAAACAGAGTTTTGTTTTGTTTTGTTGTTTTGAGTCGTTCTAACATCTGCATTTCCCCTTCCACCATCCTCTTGTCAAGCCAGTAATTCTGGATTCTGCTGGTCCTGTGCACTTTTGTCTTGACTGCTGCTGCCCTCTAGTGGCCACTCTGCAGCAAAGCATCAGCAAAGCCAGCTGGTCCTGGATAGGAAAATAAGGAATTTCCCTCCCTCCCTCCTCCGTCCCTCCCCCTCCCTCTCCCGTCCCTCCCTTCCCGCTTCTCTTCCTGCCACGTGAGGGAGGAGTGTGGCTCACGGGGAAGCAGTGCTCCACGCTGCAAGGAAGAGCCCTCTGCCTTGGCTGTGCCCCTCAGCAGCTCCTGGGAACACCCGACCCAAGTGGAGCTCCCGCACGTCTAAATCCAGCACGTCACAAGACAGAAGCAGGAATCGACTGCCAGGCCCTCGCTTCTTTACACCATTTGATCATTTTTTACGCTGCGTCCAAGGCTTTACTTCCGTTACCTCATTTCATATTCCTCACTGCTCTGTGCTTAGGTGCGGTTATTTTCACTGTTTTACAGAGGAAGCTGAGGCACCCAGAGGCCAAGGCCACCCAGGTAGGGAGCAGGAAGGGGCGGCTCTGACCACGGGCCACGGGTCCCCTAGCCTGACTCGGTCGCTCCTCTGTCCCCACTGCACTGGCCCGAAGATCCTGTCGTCGCGGGCCGCTGGGGCTGCCAGAGGCTGCGGGTCAGCGGGCTGTTGCAGATGAAGCGAGGGCTTCTTGCTTTGGGGGAGGCAGAGGAAGCCTATTCTACGTTATGAATTTTAGTGTTTACTGAGTGTTGCAGGCGTCCTCGCCGAGGGCGTATTCAGGGCAGTGACGGACTTTGAACAACAGAACCCCGCACTGAGGATCTTGTATTTCCAGCTGAGGAGGGGCTGAAGAGGCGAGGAGTTACAGACATGTCTGGGAGGCTGAGGCAGAAGGTTCGAAAGCTTAAGCGCAGTCTAGATAACAGCTTAGTGAGACCCTGTTTCAATTTTTTTTTTTTTTAAATTTCTTTACAAAGTGTTTGGGGCCTGGGGAGGTAGCTCAGCGCAAAGGCCCTGGGTTCAGCCCCCAGGAAGAAGAAAAAGAAGCCCTGAGATCTCTGAGCTATGGAGAGGGCATAGTAACCTAGATGAGCCGGAAGGGGCAGTCCAAGAGGCAGAAGGAAACTTTGGAAATGCCGGACGAGGAAAATGGCTGGAACACAGAAAGCGAGGGAGAGTGTTCTAGGCGATGCGGTCAGAGCAGCTGGCCTGGCGCAAAGCACCCACACTACCTTTTTCGTTTGTTTCAGACCCAAGCACCGAGGAACAACCACCCCTGTCCCCACCCCAAGTTCAAGGGCCCTGACTGCCCTGACAAAATCTTACAGTTCTACCCTTTGGTCACTAGGAGGCAGCACCTCGCCGCTCACCGTCAAAGCCCTTTCTGACCGCTTTGAAACACGGAAGCTTTATCGCTTCCGGCTTTCTGCCACCCTGCAGGGTCAGCTCCCAGCCCCGCTGGCCACTGGCCACAAATCAGGGCATCAGAAGGCACGGTGTAGCCAGGGACCTTTTGCCTCGTGTGCTGCGGGTGACTGTGGCAGTCTGGGGAGAGCTGTAGACCTCTTCCCAGAATTGTATTTCTTTTCTTTTAACTTCAAGTGATCCTCCTGCCTCAGCCTCTAGGTATCTGGAACACACCACCATGGTATCTGGAACACACCACCATGCCTATTTCTCAGAATATTTTTAAAGGCGTGAAATAAAAGGCATAGGGTTACAAAGGAAACAGATGACATTGAAATAGTTTTTAAAATATATATGATATTTATATGGTGATATTACTTTATTGATGGGACAGGTACCAGGAGCTGGCCACTGAGCTCATTAACTGTAGATTTCAGAGTATTGGTGAGTACAAATGGCATTCTGAGGTATTTTCAGTAGCTGCAATGTGATATTAAAATATCTGTGATTTCATCTGTTAAGCCTCAGATATGCTAGTGCTATTGTGGTTTATCTTCATGATCGAAAGGAACACTGAACTTCAATTAGATATTGGCAAAACAAAGTTATATTTTCTCATCCAAGTTTGTGGTTCCTCTCTAAGTCAAGACAGAAAGACAGAAACGTGGATCATAAAGGAAAGCAAAAAGAAAGGGCAAATCATAGTTCTTTTTTCTCTCTAATCATAACTCAAGCACTCAACCAAGTTTGACCACAGCCTCAATGTGTCAGTAGTTGGTGGATTTACTATATGAAAGAATGAATGTGAAACACTTATGGAGTTTGATGAAGGTAACAATAACTAAAATTCATTTTGCCTTAACAATTTAAAAGATAGTTCATTCAGAAACCTATGAAGCTGGATTTATAGTAGCATATACCTATTACTCCAGGAGGCTGAGGCAGGAGGATTTCAAGCTCAAACACAGCCTGGACAACTTAGGGATTTAGAAAGACCTTGTCTTTAAAAACAAAAAAGTAGAAAAAAGTGAAAAGGACCTATAAGGCAGTTTGATAAAAGTGCCAAATAAAGTATATGGACAAAGTATTCATTCTTCCTAAGAGGAAGAAATGATGAGCGCTGGGTGGCCAGGAAAGCTGGGGCTGCTCCCTGAGGCCAAGGACACACACCTTTATTTGCCAACTCAGCCATTCATTCTAGCAAGCGCTCAGGTGCAGGGGCTGCAGCCCAAGTCTATCTCCAGGAGGGAGCAGGTGAGCTCTTTTTTTTTTGGTTTTTCTCCGGTACCGGGAATTGAACTCATGACCTTGCGCTTGCCAGGCAGGCGCTTTTGCCGCTGAGCTAAATCCCCAGTCCCCAGGTGAGCTCTTTCTCAGACTCTTCACAAAGGCAGAAGACGGAGGGGAGCTGGTGCAGTGACTGCCACCACCCTGGGCCTCTGCGTGACACAGGCCACCGAGCTGTACCAAGATGGATCAAACACATTGTGCGGTTCTGTGGCAGCTGGGCTTCCAGAGCAGCGACCATTCCTGGAAACCAGTCTGTGCCCTGGGGACAGAGCCCACGGGTGGTGTAAGGAGGACTGACAGCAGAGACAGAACCAAAGTGCCTGCTGGAGGGAGCGGAAGGCGGGACGAGTGAGTGCAGAGACCCGGAGTGGACAAAGGACCAAGCCCAGACACACTGGGCCCCGCAAGAGCTGAAGCACTGAAGAGGAACGAGCTGCCCCCACTCGCGATGTGTCCAGGCTGCCTGAAAGCACAGAACTACACTTGACCCAGTTTAGGAAGTAATAACAGGAAGTGGGCCTGGCACCTGTGAAAAGCTGCCTGCAGAAGAAAAGGCACTAAAAGCGGGGGGAGAGGGGTTGAACCTTCTCCAGTCACCCCACATCTCCTGTGAGGGGGTCACGCTGAGGCCTAGGTCTTGGCAAAGGTGGACTCGAGACAGGCAGCATGCCTCGGTGCTGGGCTTGGCCAGCAGTGCCAGGAGTAGGTCAGCACCAGAGGCCAGCAACGGCGGCCTGCACAAGAAGGTGTGGGGAAGGAGGATGATAACCCACATCTCAACATAGAACCGGAGACGCAGGTCCAGGTGCCAGGGGCACGAGGAGCTCCAAGCCCATAGTATGAGTCGGTCAGGATCAGAGGTGGGTATTATGATAGCAACATGGAAGTGGCCTCAGACAGTTCTGATGTCTTTGACCCAGGACAAATGTCAGGTGGCATTGCCTAGGCCATCCTCCCAAGTGGAGCATCTCAGCCAACAGGTACCTTAAAAGCATAGCAAGCCTGTCATCAGCATCCATGTTCATATTTTCTGAACCAAAAATTATGACACATGTCAATATATCCCTATGTCTTCATGGAACTGTAAAGCAGAATATCTTTAAGCCTTTGTGCTCAAAGGTGTCTAATCTGCAAGGACCATACGAGGTCAGACCACCAGATAGAATTGTGTCAGGCCTGGTGCTGGGGTTGCAAGCAACAGAAACTAAAGTTAGCTGATTAAAGGTAAAGAAGATTCATTCATTCCCTCATTTGGTTGGTTGGTTGGTTGGCGGGTCAGAGGGGGTGGTATGTTGGGTGGTTCACAGAACTTTAGAAGGCATTAGACCAGACTTGAAGGGCTCAGCCAGAAACAACAGCCAGTGTTACCACCATGCAGATGCCATGGTCACCTCCCAGCCCACACATACCCAGGCACATTTGTGAGAATCTTGCTGTTCCCGTCTGGAATCTGATACTGCAGCTCTGCCCTCACCAGAGTCGGTTCTGCAAGGCCCGAGTCTTTCCCTGTCACTAACTTTCCATCCCACATCAGCCTGGTAGAACCACATCACACACGCAATGCCCTGGCAGCAAGTGCGACAGGAAGTGTGCGTCTGACAGTCTCATCTCCAACAGTAGGAGTTGGGTTCTGTCCCTCGTGGCGGGGAATTTCCCATAACAAATAAAGGGCTCCGATGCTGAGCAGCTAACCAGTGGCAGGTTTTCCTTTCAAGTGGTATGTGAAAGGGGGCTTGAGAGGGTGTGTTCAATCCCATGCCAGCCACCATGACAGCTGCGGGGCTAAGAGAGACACCGACAGGAGGACAGGGTGTCATACAGACATTAAGACTGCGACATACAGATCCTTCCATTTAACCCAGAAGTACTTCCTTGTGGTGAAAGCAAACACTGCTTTTTTTTAAGTCTGGCTCCAGATCTGCAGAGCTGATCTGCATAGTTCCCTAGGGCTGTCCTAACAAAGTGCCACAAGCCAGGTGGCTTAAAGCAAGTTGAAGAGCTTATTTATTCCACAGGCCGGAAGTCCTACCTCGAGGTAGTGGCAGAGCGGTGCTTCTTCTGAAGGCCCTGGGAGAATCCGTTCATGCCCTTTCCAGCTCCTGGTGTTCCTCGGTTTGTGGCTGTGTGGCTCCACTGGTTCTTTGTCTCTCAGGGGCCCGCGTAATTCATTTTCTCTCCCTCTCTCTCTCCCTCCCTCCCTCCCTCTCTCTCTCCCCTTCTCCCCATCTCCTTCTCCTTCTCCTTCTCCTTCTCCTTCTCCTTCTCCTTCTCCTTCTCCTTCCTTCTTCCTTCTTTCCTGGGCCAGTGACACCTGGCACAAGACTTTCCCATGGCACCAGCAGCCCTTGGGTCACCAGGGTAAACAGCGGACACTGCAGCGCTTGTGCGGCTGAGCAGGTCTTCCTGGTGTAGGTGCCTGACTGCATTTCCAGCTTCTGATACTTTTAACTTGTAATGAGTTGATCGAATTATAGCCCCTTCCTAAGCCGAGGAGCACCTGTCCTTTTATTCCATATTCGCATACCCATAAAACAACCAGAGTTCTCTATGTCTTTAAACTTTACACACAGGCATCACACAGGCTGTGTCCTCTGGTTGTCTACCTGCATACGGTACGTTTGCATTGCTCTTGTCCTTCTAGCCCATTCCTGCTGGTCGCTGTCATTCGATTCTCTATTTCCGTCCTGAAGAACATTTAGGGTGCCTTCCCATATTTTATTGTTAGGGACAGCTAACGCAGGAGCACAAGTTCCCTGACTCCTGGGCCCTGTCTGACAGCATCTGGGGGTAACCAGGGCTTCTCAGCAGAGTCGCCACCTCTAGATGCCAGCAGCACCGACCTACTCTACCCCTACCCCCGTGCACACCCCAAACAGTTTCCGGGTGCCAAATATTCCCTATGGAGCAAAATGGCATCAGTGAAGGATCACCTGCCTATACAAGGCATGATAACACAACACAGTCAGTGCTGAAAGTATACAAATTTATCACAGTAAGAGACACAGCGCCATTAGCCCCCCTCAAAATCTCCCCCTCGCTTCAGTGATGGGAACTATCCCATCGTTCTTGCCACTTTCGGAGGCAGCTCTGGAAGTCCTCCCTCACGTCTTTAGTCTGCTGTGCTGCCTAGATGTCCCGCGTCGGCACAAAACTTTTACCTTTCTTGGTCATTCTGACTTTGAGGAAGAGCCCGAAGTCGCAGGATGCCGGCTCTGGTGAACAAGGCGGACAGGCGCCCGCTGTCACGTGTTCACGAGCTGCCTTCTGTCGGATGGCCCTGGGCAGCAGCCTGCACCATACTGTGGTCACGCCTTGTAAGCCACTCCCGGAGGAGGACTTCCAGAGCTGCTTCAGAGAACGCAAGCGGGATGGCATCATTGGGGTTGGTTTTAACTGGTCTGTCCCATCTCCAGTTTTCAAAGATGCTGGCAAGGGCCGGTGGTATAACTCAGAGGCTTAAGCGCTTGCCTGGAAAGCCTGAGGTCATGAGTTCAATTCCCGGTACCAAAAAAATAAAAAAGAAAACAAAAAAAGATGCTGGCGATTACACTGTTCTCTTACTTTTCAGAAGTTATGCAGCACCGTTTGGGGATGGCAGTAATGGAGCCCAGCTGGGGACCCTGGAGCTGGAATCTGTCTGCCACGCAGCAACTGAGGGGTCCTCTGCACCCCCAACCCAGAGCTGCTCCCTCCACCAGGGAGGTGTCGGGGGAGAGCGGGTCCTCAAAGGGGGAGCGGCCTTGTGTGCTGTAGGGAAAAAGGAGGACCTTGCGCGGTTCCTGGGCTCTCTAGCCTTGGGGCGATGCAGAGTTCGGAAGGATACACTCACTAGCACTCTTCTACCGCTGGTAGAGCCACTCTTTCGCGATGCAAGAAGGGCGAGGGCAACAGCGCCCCCAGTGTCCACTGCGGAGGAGCAGCCGCCGCTCAGATGGTTCTGATGGCCGCGTGAGCACCGGGAACAGGTGAAGGTAGCATCCAAGGCGAGAGGATGCGATGCCACCAGCATCTTCCGACCCTAGGACACAGGCGCGGGGCGGCGACCCCTGAGTACGGTGAACGCTGTGACAAGGATGTTTTGTGAGACCCAGCCCTCTCTGAGGGACAAAGGGAGGGGTGAAGGGCCGGACAGCAACTGTGCTGGCCAGGGTGGGGCACGGCCATCAGCGGGCTGAGGGTCCGCTGATGGGTGAGTCTTCCCTGGAGGACAGAGTAGGTCAGGTTGGGGAGCCATTGTAATAAACCCAGTCAGTAGCCACACCAGTGCTGCCTTAGTTCAGCAACCCTATAAATTCTAGCCAGGCACGGTGGCACACGCCTGTAATCCCAGCTCTAGGGAGGCTGAGGCGGGAGGATCCTTGCAAGTCCGAGACCAGCCTGGGCTACAAAGTGAGCTCAAGGCCAGCCTGAACTGCACAGTGAGATCCCCCCTCCATCTCAAAAAGATTTTTTTAAAAAGATTGTACATTCTGTAAAAGTAAGAGTCACATCATGGAATTCCTCTAAGTAGTCCCCAAGAGCTAGCACACAGCTGGACTTATAAGATTTTGACACCCGTGGGATCATGTTCTTTTGTACCCCATGAAAAAAGGGGCCTGAGAAGGGTTTATAGCCCCATTACACACACACACACACACACACACACACACACAATTTTTGTTTCAAAAAATATAAATTGCTTTCAATTCTATGAGCTCATTTTGTTTTCTAAAATATCTCTATGTAAGGAAGCAGGTATGGTTCATGCTTTACAGAAACGGTGATTGAAACCCAGCATCGTTAAACTATTCGCCCCAAGGATTCGCTCAGGTCTCACAGGTTCCCTGAACTCTACTCCATCCTTCTCTGCTCTGCTCCTTGCCTCCCTCCCTGTCCCCATCATCCAGTTCCATCAGAGTGACCCAGACTCATCGTGACTTTCTCTTGGTTTTGGTCCTAGTTTTTTAGATGAGGCCTTGCTGTGTGGCCCAGGCTGGGCTCAAACTTGCCAGCCTCTTGCCTCAGCCTCCCAGCCTCCTTCCTGGGCCACCACACCCAGCTATGACTTTCAGCAAAGGGCCACTCCAGACATCAACAGAGCCAAGCAGGTGACAGAACTGGACGCAGGCCAGGGACTGTGCACACCACGCTGCCACTCTGTGTCCACTGAAGAAAATCTACTTGTGGGGTGCATTCAGGCAGGCAAAAGACTGAATCTCCCGGGGCGAAGAAAGGACTTCAGACAGGAAGACCAAGAGTTTGGGGCCAGTGCGACAATGCAGCAAGACCTTGCCTCAAAAACAAAACAAAACAAAACAAAACAAAACAAAAACAAGCACAGAACCTTAGGACAGGGTTTGGGGAACCTGCACACAAATCTTGGTGTCAGTGTAGGTCTATGAAGAGATCAAGTAGGACACTCCTGTAGTCTATGACAAAAGGAGAAGGTAAAGTCCTACTAAAATAAAAGGCTGGGTGTAGAGGCACACAGCTATAATTCCAGCACTCTAGGAGACTGAGGCAGGAGAATCCCCAATTCAAGCTAGCCTGAGCAATTTAGAGACTTAGTAAGATCATCTCAGGATTTTAAAAGGGCTGGGGATATAGTTCAGGGCAAAGGCCCTGGATTCAATTCCTAGTACCACAAAAAAATAAATAAAGAGGTTGCTGTAACTCCATAGGTGCTGTAGTTCTAAAGTTTTTTGTTTTGTTATTGAGACAGCATCTTACTATGGAGCCTAAGCCACCCTCAGACTTTTGATCCTCCTGCTTCAGCCTCCCAGAGTGCAGGGATAACAGGTATGTACCACTATACCTTGCTACCATTAGTTGGGTTCCCCCACACACAGGAGGAAACTGACCATCAGAGAAGTAAAGTAACAGTTCAAGGTAACACAGCCAGTAAAAAGCAGAAGGTGGAGTTAAATCCTGGTCACCTTTGAGTCTTAGCTGTATATATTTGTGTGTGCTGGTGTGGAAGGACAAAGATATTCAAGACACTTTGTTTTAAAAGTTTACAACCTGGGGCCAGGGATATAGCTCAGTGGCACAGGCATATGCCTCCAAAGCGCAAGGTCCTGAGTTCAATTCCTGGTACCAAAAAATAAAAGTTTACAACCTGTACCCTCCGCCAGGGGACAGGAGGCTGGTGCCAGCAGCTACAGATTGGTTTAGAGGATGCCCAGTGGTGAGGGAGACCAGAGCTCAGGTAACCGCAGCTGTAGGGGGCACCAACACCCAGAGACACACCAGAAGAACAGGGGTCCGGTGTGGTGGTGCAAGCGTGTAGTCCCAGCACTCCTGGGACTGAGGCAGGATTGCCAGCTAGCTAGTCTCAAAATACAAACATTTTTAAAAGGCTGAGGATGGAAAAAGCTCAGGGGGAAGGTTCTGGGTTCATTCCGGAGTACAGCAGATGATAGATCGATCGATAGATAGATAGATAATTAAGAGACTAAGAAGAAAACAAAGAGGGCCCAGCTAACAACTTTGGGGAAAGAAATGCCCAAATCCAGCACTTGTGAGAGCTCCGAAAAGGGTCAGGAATTCAAGAACCTAGAACTTCCAGATGGCTCAGAAAGGCTGGGCCGGCCGGGCAGTCGGTCAGGCCGCGAAGGCGGCGGTAACAGGGCCTCGCTCCGCCGCCCGCCGCCCGCCCCCCGCATGGCCCCATTCTCCACACCCACCCCGTAGTGCAACTGCGCCCAGAGGCCACCTTGGCGCGCCCCAACCCCACCTTTTTTTTTTTTTTTTTTTTTTGATTGTGCGTCAAACTCCGCCCCGTCGGGGGAGGCTTTGATTGGTCCGCTCCGCCCCCGGATCGGCCAATCAGAAGCTTGTTGCCAAGGCGGGGCTTCCCCAGATGGTAAAGGTTACGGCAAGGACGCTGTTGCCGAGCGAGGAAAGCAGATTTGCCAGCGTGTTCTGTGGCTCTAAGTGCTGGCCAGCCACTCCGCGGAGACTGAGAGACGTGGGTGGGTGACTGAGGGCTCCTCCCTCGGTCCATATCCGGGAGGGAGGGAGCCAGACACCTACCTGTCCTCGCTACCCCAACCCGCCCTCTGGTCCCTGCGGCCCGCCTCGCCCGGCTGCTGGCCGCTGAGAGGCCTGGCGTTTGCCCCTCCGATTCCCCCACCCCAGGGCATCGGAGGAAGTGAGATCTGCTCTGGGAAGGAGGTGCAAACAACACCCACCTCACACGTCTGCGGCAAGCCAGACTGAAATGAAAACAGCAGTGTCTGCCCCAGTAGTAACCAAGTGCCCTCTGGGCAGGTTTGGAGGGGCTAAAGAAAACGGAAAAGATCCCAGGAAGCAGGAGACTTAAACTGTCAGCTTCCTTAAAACATTTAAATTACCCGCCCCATCTGGGAGGTCGGCTGGAAGGGGGCTAAGAACAAGAGACCGCGTTTCCAACCAGAGCTCAGTTCCAAATGGGAGAGAGGGCGGACGCATATCTACACCCTTGCAAAATCCTCCTCGGGCCTTGCACCCGATTCCCAAATCCCTGTCTCTGTCTCCACTGTGTACCCTAGGTAAATGTCCCCACCACATCTGGTAAAGGTAATAACAATACTTAATAACAGTTGTTCTGCGCTATGAGCCAACAGCCTTCTTGGCGCGTCGTGTATGTCGGTCAGTATGTCGGTCAGTCCTCCCAACGATACTGAATGGGTACAAAATGAGGCACTGAACTGAAAAGTAATTTGCCAGCTGTTATGGCACAGCTGGAGTCACCTGGGGGCCGGATCCAGAGTACAGCCCTCTCTGCGACATTATCCGGAAAAGGCTACAGTGGTTGCCTGCGCGGATCATTCCAAACTCCCAGATAAAATGGGGGTTTTTCTGTAGGTGAATTTTACAGTTCTTTAAAAATGAATGAAACCAGAAAAAAAAATCTTCCTACTCATCTGTGTCCTGGTCACCCGAGCTCACCTGAGCAGCCCTAAGTGTCAGAAGAAAGGTACAGCGAAGTCCCCAAACGGCACAGCTTTATTTTCCATTTCCAAAGTGGACTGGGGCAGACCCAGCTCTGAAGTCGAGGAGCTGTGCGCAAGGTACAGAAGCGGAGGCTGAGAACCTGGAGGGCAGCCTGGGCGCCTTCCCACCCCCAAGCCCCTGGCCTTACTGGGGGGCTCTGGTTCCTGCTCAGACCCCCTCCCCTCCCCCCAGTCTGCACCCCATTCCCAGCTCCAGGGACACACCATCTGCCTGTCCTCCCCCTTCCCCCGGGACTTAGCTCCTTTTATTGAGACCTTTAAATAATTAAATGTCCCAAAGCCTCCCCCACGCTGATCCCCAGCCCCTGGCCTGGGGTGTTATTGAAAGCCCAGGAGCCTGCCTGGAGGGCCGCCAGCCCCACCGCCCCTATTCAACGCCTTTCTTTCCCGGCTCAGCTGCCAGGCAGCGGCTAATGGGCCTTTTCTCCTGCTCGGCCCCTCGC